AAAACAAAAACGCTGATGTAGCAGCAAAGAGCAAACATACAGAAAAAGCACAAAGATAATCTTGAGTAACGCAAAGAAAACTGTCTGATGATGCTCTGCTGATGTGGAAACAGACTCAGTAGACCAGGCTGAAGAGGAAGAAGACACCTGAGCTGAATGGAGCTGACACAGAGGAACACCCAGAAATACACAAATAACAAAACTAAACCTAAAGATTGTAAAATATTAAATGAAGCTGAATATAACACACAAAATATTATGAACAAAAACTAAAAACAAAATTCTAAAAGAACAGGTCCTGACCATTTGAATGTGAAACTGAAGGCAACGTAAAGGTTTTTAAAGGTTCACATGAAACATTCTGAAACTTCCTACATTTTTCAGTCAGGTCATCTGGACAGTTTCTTTTTTTGTGCTGAAACATTTCGCCTTCGATCCGGAAGGCTTCATCAGTCAAGATTGATGCAGGAGGGGCGTACCAAAGAGACCATCTTATCACAAGCAGAACTGGTTTGTTCCACTTTGGAGTAAGCTGTTGTGGGAAGAATCAGTTTTGTTGTGTGTTTCCTTGACTGATGAAGACTTCCGGATTGAAGGCGAAACGTTTCAGCACCAAAAAATAACTGTCCAGATGACCTGACTGAAAAGTGTTGGATTTTATACCTGGATTATTGAGCATGGACTTTGTTGTATTCTGAAACTTCTTACTACGCCGAGCTCTATCATAATTATAGTTTCATGTTAGGTTAGCGTGTCTTCACCGTACAAGGAGGAAATTACAGTGGAAGTAAGATTCAACGTGATGCTTCAGCCTGTTTTTGCAGTAGAGGAAATTTTCTTCCAATGTTTGATTGCGTGACTTGTAAATGTATTACCTTTGCTGACACGTGTTTTGTGTGTTAGGAGGTTTTCCTGCTCTGACTCTTTTTGTTTCATGTTTGTCTACGGGAAGCATCTGTCCCATCAGAGTTTGTTATGGCCACAGGGCTTTTTTGTCTCTGACAGGTGAGGCATCATTCCTGCCAGAAGCCCCCCCCCACACACACACACACAACCACCCTCCGTCCACAATACATGTCAGGATGAGCGAAGCGATGAGTCGCCATTTGCTTTGCCTGTGAATAGATTGGTGTGTCTTCCACGCTGGAATGCTAAGAGCTGTTTGCCTTTTGGGCACGTGAAAGCTTGTCACTCTGCTTTTAGTTGCACAGCTTATCCCTGAAAAGACCCCGGCCATCACAAATTCTTTGACCTTGAGCTCGCTGCCAAGTAGTCTCTCTGCAGGAACTATTTCAGCATCAAGAGTTTCCCTAGGTGATCTAATTATATTTTGTGATTAGGTAACACATTCAGTTGATCATAACTCTGTTTCTTCTAATGCAGTTTTACAACGTGTTGTACATTTAGATCAGTGGTAACCTTTATTCTGCATGAATGAAAGATGAGAGAACAGGTTAAGACTCGTCCACCAAACCCCAATCCTTAAGGCTCCCCTCCACCTTCCTGTTAAAGAGCATCCAGTTTCTGTGAATGACACTCTTGAAAGCCAATAAAACCTTCCCTCTGTGCTTTTGTTTCAAGATAAATGCTTTTAACCTCAGTTGGTGCTCAAGTGTGATATGGAGTCCAGTATTTAACCGCAGGTCTGTGGAGCAAGGGTCGCATACAAGGGTGCCCCTGGCTGATGAAGGCGTGCAACCCTAAATAAACCAACAAAGACAGGAAGGGCTGTGCTAGTGAACCCAATACCAAGGCCGACCATGGCATCCATCGTATACAGAAAGTGTCGGGAAGGAGGAGGGCTGAAGGAGATTGTTTTGTCTTGTTGCAGTTTAAACACACAGAGATACCGAAAGGTGAAAGTGTAAACAGCATTACGGCTGCCATTAGAAGTGAAGGAGGAATACTGAAAATTATGGATAAAGCAAAGTTCAAATATTTTCAAGTGGGGTCCTGTAGAGAGGGTATGGACAATTATTATCTTAATTTTACATGTATTATTTTGGGAACCCAAAATAATGTCCTGCCTCCATTTAACAGAAAAATGAAAAATCACCTTGTCCATTCTTGTGTCATGTTTTCTGCCTCCTCAGCTCCTGCTTTAGACTCCTGGAAGCCATTACCTCCTGTGAACCTGTCATAAAGGAAAAATCAGTGTGAATGTTCATTTCTGGAAAATCCTGCTTTGATTGGCTGCATAATAACATAAGTTATACATTATCTCTGTCTAGTTGTCTAAATCCCAAAGAACTGTTCTTCTTGTGCCCTTCAAAATAAAACATTTATCCATCCATGCATTATCTTTACCCACTTTTTCCTTTTCAGGTCGTGGGGGTCACTGGTGCCCATGTCCAGCCCTCACTGTGCGAGAGGCGAGGGACACCCTGGACAGGTCTCCAGTCCATCACAGGGACACATAGAGACAAACAAGACAAACAACCATTCACTCTCTCACTCACACCTAGGGACAATTTAGAGTTACCAATCAGCCTAGCATGCATGTTTTTGGTCTGGAAAAAAACCGGAGTACCCAGGGAAAACCTGCGCATGCAACGAGAGAACATACAAATTCCATCCAGAAAGGCCCATGGCCGGAATTTGAACTGGGGCAACCTGCTCACTGAGAGGCAGCAACTCTGCACCACCATGCTGCCCAATAAAACATTTACGCAGTGGCTGCTCATCAATAGAGGGCACTAGGGCGCCTCCCCACCACCCAAACCACTCACCATACTCACCACTCATACGCTGAAGACTTAAAAAAAAAAGGAAAATATTTTGAAATATATGTATGTTTTTTTTAGTCTTGTAAGATAAATATTTTATAGTTAATGATGAGTTAAGTTGTTTCTTTCAAAAACATTGTCTCTGACTAATGACGTAGTTCCAGCCCCTGGGGGCGCAAGAATCTTAGCCCATGGTCTCTCGTTAAAAGTTGTACATGCGCAGTTAGCTCCTCTTCATTACAAGAGATAGGAAGATTCTGGGCGCAGATCTGCTCCTGGGTGCACCGTCGAACGCAAACAGTACCGATCGGTACCGATCGTGCTTCCGGTTCCAGAACAGATTTTTTTTTTTGTCCAGGAACAGATGGTGCAATGACACTCACAATCAGGCTGGCTGCAGGTATGCTTTAAACCAGGGGTGGGCAATTATTTTTTTCCATAGGGCCACATGAGAAACAACAAATATTGTGGAGGGCTGGCACAAATGACCTTTTCATTCAACCTTTATTTAGACAGGTAAATCCCATTGAGCCTCGAGGACTCATTTACAAGAGAGACCTGATTTCAACTTAACTCAATACTGCATAATATTAGTATTTCATTATTAAAAGCAGTACATAGCACTGTTTTAACAAGCTGGTAAGAGTATTTGTTATGATTAAGCAACGAAAAAGCGAGGTTTCCTTACAAAATGTCATTTATTCAGTTAAATTTCCCAGTACAATGGTAAACTGTTAACATTTTTACCATTTGTGATGTTATATTAGTGATCATTTTCAGTCACATTCACCCCAAAACTAATTTTGAGTTTTATATACTGTTGGAAAAAGTTCTTAGCTTTGTAAATATATCACAATATTGTCTTTGTACTCCAAATATTTTGAAACCTCATATAATAGTGATCGTCACTGAACTGTGATTTCGAGTCCCGGTTCTTTACGTGCCTACATTTGTAGTCTAAACATCTCATTTGGTGTTTTTCAGTTCTTTTTTCTTGTTTAGTGAGAGAAGTCTAGTCTCTGTTGGGCTTTAATGGAAATGTTAAAGTCAGGTTGTTTACATATGTATTTTGTAATTCCCCTTACGGGGGCCGGTGAGAGTCAACCAAAGGGCCGCATGTGGCCCTAGGGCCGTACAATGCCCAGGTCTGCTTTAAACCATCGAAAGCCCTTTATCTAATGCCTGTTTGCTATTTCTGAATGATATGCCTCTCAACTTTTAGATGTCTCTGTTTGTGGGAAAAAAAAAAAACCCTTCAGCTGACTGTGTATTCAAACAGTGGGAACTGGTGAGTTTGTTTCTGTTTTATCAGTCAGAAATGGCAATGTAGGCATTAGACAAAGTGTGTTTAGTGGCTTAAAGCCTACCTGCAACAGCTAGCCTAGCCTTTCTCATACATAACTTGATTGTGAATGTCTACGATCTGTTCCAGACTGGAAGCACGATCTGTACCGTGCAATAAGTTCTGGGCGCAGGAGAGCAGCGCCCAGAATGGTCCTATATCTTGCAATGAAAAGGAGCTAACTGCACATGTACAACTTTTAACAAGAGTCTATGGGCAAAGATTTTTGCCCCCAGGGCAGAAATATGTCATCAATCAGAGATAACGTTTTTAAAAGAAACAACTTTACTCATCATTAACTATAAAATATTTATCTTACA